TCTCTAAGTGTAGCCCTGTGATAGACTGGTGACCTGTCCAGGGTGTCTCCTGCCTTCACCCTGAGTCAGCTGGGATAGACTCCAGCCCCCCACAACCCTAGTGAGGATTAAGTGGTGTATAGATAATGGATGTATGATGGTATTGAAAGTAGTTTCAGACCAGTTTTGGACTGATTTCAAACCAGGGATCAATCCATGAAGCAAATGTACCAAATAATCCAGGCTTATTACAGTTACTCTGATCAACTGTCAGGTTGTTTTGGTTCCATAAAGCAAATTGACTCTGGTTCAAACTCAGTTACTTTGGAAACTAATGCTGAAAAACTAACCTGGTCCATAACAGAATCACTGTCAGAAAACCCTGTCAGACTATCAGGCTCTTTATTCCTTGTTTTCTATAGCTCACATATATATTCTTTTTTTCTATAAATTCCCATTCTTTTATTCTATACTTGCACTATTCTCTTTTTACATGTGTACTTTTATACTTGTGTTTGCACTATTTCTTCTATTATGTACATTGTTCTTCTATTATGTGTGTATTTCTGTGTGTACTGCTGCTGGCAGCACTGAATTTCTCCAATGTGAGATAGATAAAGGCATATCCTATCTTATCATATCTTACTGTCAGGCTAACTATTCGACTAACTATAACTGTCAGATCGTCAGGCTAAGTGTCAGATTGTCAGGCTAACTGTCAGGCTAGCTTTCAGGTTTAATTGTCAAACTAAATAGCTGTCAGACTAAGTGTGAGGCTAACCGTCAAGCTAACTCTCAGGCTAACTATAAAAATAGCAGTAAACGTTTGTGAAATAGTGACATTATCAGGTGATGTGAATCCAGTGATATAGGGTCATTTTACGGTCACACAATGTTAAAGAACAAGTGACTATTTTTGAAAATACAGATTTTTGAGGAGGACATCACTCAAGTTTTATCATCTTAGTTATAGTTTCATTGTTTTTTTCACAGTCAATTTGTAAATAAATGCTTTTTTCTGTGTCTCCACCAGATATTATTTGTATTTTAGCAAAATGGTGAATATCTGTAATTAAATGATTTACTGTTTTTTTTAATCATTAATAAATATATCTGACGTTATTTAGAATTAAATATCTGTAATTTGACAAAACAGAGAAAAAATGTAAAATAGCAGTCAATTTAAAAAAAAACAAAACACTGAAAAACAGTTTGGACATTTTTAATAATTTTTGATGGAATAAAAGTAAAAAATTCCAGAAATTCTGCTTCAGAATCTT